TTGACTCAGCAAATGGAAACCTTTAAAATACTCACGGCATGGAGATGTTTTGTCCGGTAAGCACAGGAAGTCGAAAGGTTTGGTGGGTCTTGAGACAGAATGAGACGATGGAAATGAAGATAAAGAGAACAGAAATTCCGGCGATGAACTTGGCGGCTTGGGAGCTGTATGGCTCGTCAAACAGGGACCAGACTTGTGGCTTGATCTTCATCCAGCGGGTGCGTTTTCCCTGAGAGTGTATAGTTGAGGGACCGTAGGAATGTTTGATATGGTTTTGTGAGAACTCAAAGCAACTCTAACGATAGGGGGAGATTGGAGCAGAAAATACTGTACAGGGTGGCCGATAATGATAGGACGTTTTTTTGAGAGCTCCGGCCCGGCGCCAAAGTATAATTTTGAAAACTTTCGAAACTAATAGAAAGTAGGGACCCTCTATAAGCAGTGATTTATATCATTTGGTATCATTTTGTTTTTTGTTCAGAATTATGAAGACTTCTCCACACCAACCCAAGATCGCGACTTTTCTCGAGATGGGGTGCACGTGTTGATGTGGCTAGAAGACTTGGAGTTTCTTCATCAGGTGTCCGAAATGTTTTTGAAAATATCCAAAAGGATCAGAGGAACCTACTAAAACAAAAATTAAGACCACCATTAACTTTGAACATTCACCAGACTCGGGGGATCTCAAACGTCAAATTGAGCAAAAAAAAATAGGTGTTAGCCATGGTATTGCATGGTCCAGGGTTCAAAAAATCGGAAAATAGGATTTAAACACTTGCAGTTACCGTATCTACCGCAAACTGCTCCTTTCTTATACATCCGGGGCCTGCAGACGCGAAAAATGCAAAAAACTATTTTCACACCTCCACCTGCGGCGGGTGTCAGACGAGATCTAGGGACGTAATGAGTTTCCCTGATGAAACTCTTCCGAACCGTCGGGATCAGGGACAATTGTTACCAAAAGATGACAACGAATCTCCTGAACGTTTTTTATTTTCAAATTGCCTTTCCGTAAAAATTTCAAAGTTTGGGATAGAATCACGGCAACCAATACTAATTTTTTGTTTGGTGAAAATCAGCTCGCAGGTCTACCGACTGACAGTTTTGATGCATAATTTGTTGTCCTGGGCCACTCAGCAGTTTGTTAGACATATTTAAAACCATCTGTAAGACTCAGAACCGTCTTGTAGATCGAAATCCACAATTGCGGTCTTAGACGCTCATTTTTTTAGAAAACTCGGCTACGATTGGGGGCCCTCTAACTCCACGGATTTCAGTCCGATGGACTTTAATGTATGGAATCTTTCGAAGAACAAGATCTCAGGAATCTCCTACTGTATTTTGGACTTTCTGTAAAGTCCATTTCAAAAGTTCTAAGGCGACTTTGATGTCAACTACAGTCGCCGCACAGCCAAATTTTTTATCGTGCGTTTGGAGGCTTCTGTCAAAGCTCGTGGTTCTAATCATGACTACTTGTTATAAAACTAAAATTCTTACATATTTTGAATATTTTGATAAAGTTATTACAGTTATAAAACGTTTTTCTAAAAAATGGGAGACGTTTAGAAACGTCATATCATTATCGGCCACCCTGTACTTCCTCTAATAGACATTTGTCATATTGCTACCAACATTTTACCAGTGACAGATGTTTGATATTTTTCATCGAAATCAAGATAATTAAAATTAAAGTTGACTGTTAAGGCGAGATTCTATTAGTGGAAATACATTAATAAAACTCTATTCCTTATCTCTCAATTTTCATCCTACTGAAACTTACAAGAATCTTTTAACGATCTTCTGTAGACAATGATTCAGCACTAATGTTATCATTATGAACTTTTTTGGAGGAAATGACTTCCTTTTTTAAAATAATCACTATAACCTATCAGGCTAAAATTACCGTTTTTCATCTAATAGAAGCCCATACAGGGTGCGGCAAAAGTTCTGTTACAAAAAGAAGACGTCATAACTTTTCGGAAAATAGTTCAATCCGCGTCAAATTTTGACAGGACATGTTCAAAGAGATTTGCGACAAAATTGAATTATATTTGGTCGTTTCTGATAGCTCTGTTTCTGATGGTGGAGCTCAACCTCTTCGGGTAGCGACTATGGTAACACGGGGGTGGTCTGCCGGCGAATTGTCCCAATCCGCTCAAAAATATTTTAGAGAGCATCTAAAAACCTGTGAAAACAAACATGAACATGTGCTATTAAAGTTCCCGGCACGGAAATCCTCATTGGATTGTGATCTGACTAGAGACAGGCCATCCTTTTTAGGGGATCAGGTTGGAACAATTGATTTTGGCACTTTCTGCTGAACACGTTTTTCCGTGTAAGCAGGTCCTACATCTTTCTGTGTAGTCTAATTTTGCGAGTTTTATGGCACGATGACTTAGGCATCTTAATTTTGACTAGAAATAGTATTCCTGGCCCACTTGCTTGTTCACAAGGATCATCTAAAGCCAGTGAAAAAATCAAGTGAGGTGTATAAAAAGTAATGCCATCTTCGTAAAAATTGAGATATGAACATGAACCTTTATAAATCTACTAATGAAAAAATGGGGAAAAAAAATGCGTCAGCGCGCGCCAGCTCAAGTCAAACTTTTTGTAACAGTACTTTTGCCACATCCTGTACAAACTGATAACTTCAAGCTAACTTATCTCGATTAATGTGAAAAATATAAAAAATTTGTCAAATAATAGGACATTATGGTGAATAAAGTATTAGTTGACAGAATTCTAATATCTCTCACTGGAATCGAGATAATTGAGCTCAAAACTGGTGGTTTCAGTGATTTTCTTGCATTAGAGGAAATACAGCTTTTTGTTGTTAATTATCCTGGGAAAATTCTTGAACCAATAAGTTCTAACGGCTCAGCTACGCGGCTTCTACCCACTTGAAAATAGTCCTCCTCCCAGCCAAATTTCTTCATGATATCTTGCTCACGGAGTTGTGGATCATCCTCATGATCGGCATCCATACGATCCAAAACAGCGAGAGTCTCTTGCGTGTCCCTACAATTTTTTTGTTTTCCGTTTTTCTGATAGCTCGACTACTCTTCTTACTTGGCATGAAGAAGTTGCATCCAACAGCACGGCTCGGTATCCGATGCGTCCAGTCCCCAATACTGTAGTTCTTCCTCGAACAGTGGCCCGCAAACGTCAGTGGGGTAGTGCAGTTTTCCGGTTCGGTAGTAGTTCAGGATCTGAAATTAGTGGGGGTGACAAGATTGGGTTACTGTAGGTTACCATGGAGAACACTGCTGGGTGACGGTCGAAGAAGTATTCTTGGAGAAGAGGATCAAAGTTGGAAACCGTTGGAGTTAGCCTGAAAAATGCTTGAGGGTCTACAGTAATCCTTTAGAAGACCACCTGCTGAGTCGTGTCGCTGGAATTTTCTTTAGTGTTGCTTGATAGGTCTCGTGACGTACACCTCCGACGTTCAGCACGATCCTCTCATCCATAGAAATTCCTTAAAAACGTCAAATCACAATTTCGTCGCTCAATTTTTATTTTGACGATTTTAAAATCTCTTTTTTCGATTTAAACTCATGACTACACCCGTCAAACGTCGTCAGTCTCAATGAACCTTCACTTTTACGACGTTTTCTCTTTTTTTGGGTCGTCTTGGTGGCGGACTAAGATGGCGTGGGCTTTATATTTTTGCTGGAGAAGAGAGATTGAAAAAAATAAAGAAATTGGAAAAGCGAACTAACGATAAACTAACAATAAATCATGAGAAGAGCCTTTCCTCCTTTCTCGCCGATTTTTTTTGCTCTTTGCAAAAAGTGTGAAAAGGGATTGAAATGCGTGCGTCGGTGGAGTCAGGAAGCTAAACGACCCAATTTGAACTTTTCGTTCATTCATGAATTGGAAATGTGATTCGAGGAAAAATGGGAGAGAAAATAAGAAAAGAAGATTTTCCAGAAATGATGTGAAAATCAGCGAAAATCAAATCGGATGTTAGTTATTTTTGGGTTATTTTTAGGTGTGACAAGTTCAAAAACCTAGGAAAACCCAGAAGAATTCACATGGGTTAACCAAACCTGCGAGTTTGAAATAGACGCATATGTTTCATTTTCAATCTTTTTTTTTTTGATTCAAAAAATGAAGAAGATCTTGTGTTTCGGACCAATCAAAATGAATTGATGAGAGCACAAAGAACGAGGATTCCATAGTTTGAAATCTTGTTATTGTGGTCAATTTGAACCTTCAAGAGGGGTATGACAAAGATCAGCATGATGAAGTGGTTAGTAGTTTAATCTAGAGATATTTCAAACTAGAAAAAATGGGGAATAAGTTTTGGATTATCAGAATCTCAGTGAATCAAAAAATTCAGATTTTTTTGAATTTTCAGAACTTAAAAAATTTCAAACTTTCAGATTTCCTGAATAATAGGAAATTTAGGGATTCTGAGTTTTCAGAATTCTATAGTTCACGATTCAAGAAAATCAGCTTTTCAGGCTAAAAATTTTTCGAATTTCCCAATTTTTCAAAATTTGTACTATTTTGGATATACGAGTTTCAAAAAAGTTACAATCTGAAAATTCCAAAAAACCGGATTTTTCCGATGTTTACATTTTTTAGAATCTTTTTACCATTACAATAGGAAATCTTCAGGATCTTGTAATTCTAGAATCTTAGAATTTAGGAATTTTTTAGATTCAGATTTTCAGAGTCACTGAAAAGTTGTGGAATTTTGCATTTTCAGAATCTAATAGTTCAGAATTCTTGACTTTCGGATTTGCAGTTTATTTTAGTTTTTCCTGCACTAAATTTTCAGATTTTGTCCAATTTTCAAAAGTTGAAATTTTTTAGGATAAATAAGATTCGAAAAATTTCAGAATCTTGAAATTCGTGAAAACAGAATTTTTTTTAATTTTTCTAGTTTTTTAGGCTTTTTAGATTTTAGGATCTTTTCACTATTTCGGTTGGAAATCTTCCAAATCTTTTAATTTCACAATTTCAGAAGATAGGGATTTTAGTCTCTCAGAATTTCAAAAAATTTCATTTCATTTTTCTGAATTTGAAAATTCAAAAATTCCGATTCACTGAAAAAATGGGGAAATTGAAAAATACAATTTTTCCGAATTTTTAATTTTTTTGGATCTGTTTACTATTTCAACCGGGAAAATTTCAAAATCTAGTTTTCATGATTTTCGAAATTACTTATTTTTAATTTTTTAATTTCAAAATTGGAAAAATTCCAAATCGAAATATGAGAATTCATAAAACTTAGAAAGAGCTATTAAGCTATCGATATCCAACGTATCTTGAAAAGATACAGGAAGGAAGTTGCTAGGGATTTCTCTCCTATCTCACTCAGAAATTGTTTCAAGCTGTGGAAAAACGGGTTTCTGGAAAATTAATTTTTTACTACAATTTTCTACTAGAGAAGAGAATTTTAATCAACATTCTCTGATACTAATGTAGTTTCTTACTGATTGATTTGCTCTTTCTGCTTTTCTATTTCCGGGTTACTTTAGTTACACACCAGCATTTTTAACCTTTTATCACATACCTCTCCGAGCCATCACAACAGAAAAGGAAAGCGCACAAAGGTGCGCGAAGAAAAATACAATCCGAATTTCCAGTTTTCGAAGTGAAATAAAAAAGAAAAATAATAAAGCCTGGAGTCGATGAGAAGAGCCACCACACCGATTAATCTTGGCTCGTAAAAAAAGAAGAAGACGTTTCATAAAATCTATCTCCTTTCCATCCGGCTCCTCTTCAGTGCTTTTTTGCTTGACAGGAAAAGGATCTATTCTCGAAAATAGGAGGAGTCAAGGGAAAAGAGTTCGCTGCACTTCTTGGGAAAATAAGGAAAAAAGGATTAGTGTGAAATGGGAGAAAAACTTCAAAAACGAAACAAAAAATCGAATTTCAAGGGTAAATCTTACCTGGCGCATTTGTACGTAAATCGTCCAGTGCTATACTGGTTGTAGAGTATCTGGGTATAGAGTGTCGAGTTCTCATCCTGGTCTCACATTTTCCATCTTGGAGAATCGGCTAAGTTTTTTTGTACAGTATACGAGCAAGAATCAGTAAGGAAATAGAAAAAGTTAAAAAAAAAAGTCAGGACCAGAAAAAAAATCCAGGTGAAGAAACACGGAACCGGGCAAAACAACCAAAAGACAGACACCTGAGAAATTCAGAACGCGAAACCAAAACTTTCTTTTCGTCTGTTGTCGTGTTTCCTTTTTCACTTAGGCGAATAAGAAGAACAAGAAAGTAAAGAAGAATAGGAAAAAGCAAAGAAAAAATGTCACAACCGAACTCGAGTGGAATGAACGCGACTCACAAGAGCGTTGTTTGTGAAAATTAGTAGTCGGAATAAATTATCAAATGGAACGATCAGTGTTTAATCATTGAAAAGAAGGAGGGAAAAAAAAGAGAGAGGAAGATATCTATTTTGAACTGAGATCGGGAAAACAAAGAATACCGTAAAACCTCTAATAGAACGACACCCGGATCGTCCACTTTGAGCCTATATATCTCATTTTCTGTGAAAGATATCAAAAAGTGGCTAACTAGTAAAATGTTGCTGATATCCTGATAAACATTTTACTAGTTAACCACTTTTTGATATCTTTCAAAAGAAGTGAGATATATAGGCTCAAAGTGGACGATAAGGGTGTCGTTCTATTAGAGGTTTTACGGTAACCTGAACTTTTAATAGCAATGAAACAATTCCAAAATACAGTGAAGGTTCAACGCTTTGGGTAGATTTAACAAATGGTTTATTTAACTGGTCTGAGACCAGGAACAATAATAAGACATCTAAAACAAGATAAAAGGCCACGAATAGACGAAAGGGGGAATATTTATATGGATCGTTCCCGTGGGTGTGGGGCGGAGCTGCTGGTCGATGATGTGATGGCATTCCAGGAGCTTGCGGAACGATCTGAAATATCAATGTTAGAGTGTGTGTACAGAACGGAGGCGCTGAGAGGGGAATGTGGTGTTTCAGCCTATGTGTCATCGAATGAATTTCCCGCTGGGATTTCTTATCACCCGTGACTGTGCTGGACTTTGTGCTCTCCCTATGGGAATGCGGAACTTGGACTATGACCTGGTGGGGAAATATTATGGTAATGTAAAATCACCCTAAAAGGATATTAATATTTTTTACAATACCCTCTCTTCAATGTTCACTAATTCCGACTGAAAAAACTAAATATTTAAGGTTTTTTCGGTCCGATACTTTAACTCTCTTGTTTTAGATGCTAGAGGAAGGGGGTTAATCGTTCTCTTTGAATAAAAAACCCAAAAATTTACCGGAAGTTTCTTGGTGGCACCCAGACAGCGTATCTTTGTGTAGAAACGAAGAGGAACTAAGTTCTGGGTTGAAAAGTGCAATTGTTGTATCCTGTGGACGTTCTCTGGTTCTTGGCGTTGCATGAGGTCGGGAAATTCGAAAATTATCGCCTCATGATCTTATTAGGTTCTTATGATATTCTTAATTAGCCAACAACTAGTTTTTTTTGTTGTTATTTGAGCTCTTTACCCGATAACCTCTCCATTTTTGCGATGTTATTGAGGTTCCAACTCTGTAAACACACCTCAGTTTTTCCTAATGAAGATGATTTTTGGACATTTCTCGGTGGTTGAGAAAATACAACTGCAATCCCTCCGTAAATTGCCAAAAATTTGATTTAACACTTCGATAAGTCGATTAACCACCCCTCGGATGTCACACATTTGACGCCATCCCAAAGATTTCCATATGGTCCACAATTTTTTTTCTTTTTTTCAAAATTGCACTTTTAGAAGTTTATTTCTCATAATCTTGTGAGCTGCAAAAAAAGCGAAAAGGACGGAGGTATAGGTTTCAAATGTACCCAGATGTAGAGAGGACACATAATCCGAAAAATAAGAAAAAAAAGATGAAATAGAAGAACACATTTTCTTGTTCTCCTCTTCTTGACATTGCAATATTTTATCCGGCGTTTATGACGTTGTTGATGGTGTCGTAATGCTTTTCATCGTGTTACAAACTAATTCCTCTAGTAGATCCTAACTTTTCTATTTTTTTTTTTCGAAAACAAGAACACGCGTTTGGCTCCAGGTATCAAACCGACACCACGCTTTTTCCGGTTATGGGGTTGGCTCACAGATTCGTGACGTCGCGAGAAAAAATTTTTCTTTGCTACAAGAGAGAGAGAGAGAGAAGTTCTGTGGAGGGCATACTGGAATAGCCAATTTCCTGAATTTGCACTCTGCAATCTTAGACGTCCACTACGTCACTCAGTAACTTGAAACAACATGATTCGCTGAACCCAGAAAGGCTCAGTTGCTTGTCTTACTCTTCGATCTATGAAGACTGGCTATAAATATTCTGCGAGCAAAAGTAAGTCCAATTTTAGACACGTGATTTGGTGGGTACAACAATTCGGAGGTCGGACAAATTTTTCAGGTGTAGTGTACCTCCAAATCAAGGATTTTGTATCCATGAATTGCTTTG